AGGGAGCAAACCCCAAGGCTCAAGTCTGTTGCCACCAGGCCAACCCCTGAGGGTTGGAATCAAATTGTATCTCGTCTCGAATTTTTCCGTCTATCGTGGTCTAAGTACCCAAAATTGTTTGACCAGATCCGGTACAGATCACATACCCACACCCATACTAGTGTCATGTCGACATAGGTGCGCCACTTAAACTGTCGTGTCGGAGCAACTTAGTCTAAAACTTGAGAATAAAAAAGAAATTCACACTTTACAAGGTATGCGTAAGTATTCCAAAAAATTTCTCATAATTTAGAGAATTTTTTATTTTTTTATTTTTTAGAATTATTTTTACCCGGATCCCCACACCCGTATCCGTACTAGGATCCGTATATAGAAAGATATGGACTTTCAATCAAGATTTTCCTTGCAAGCCGATTCCCCAGCTCCTGAATAGGTGCTATCTTAGAACTTACATCTTGAAGGATCCAACCTCTAGATGGGTTTTGGTGACAGGTGGATTAAATGGATGAAGTTTTGCATTACCACGGTAAAATTCTCAATACTTGTCAATAGAGGGCCAGTGGGATTCTTTTCACCTCAGAAGGGACTTAGACAGGGGGACCCTCTCTCTCCTTTCTTTTTATTCTGGCCATGGAGGGCCTTAGCAAGATGTTGGACAAAGCAAAGCAGCTCCAATGGATTAGTGGCTTTCAAGTTGGGCTTAACTCTGGATCATCTCTCTCAGTATCTCATTTGCTTTATGCAGATGATACTCTGATCTTCTGTGGGGCTGAAAGATCCCAAGTTCTATACCTTAACCTAACTTTGAATCTATTTGAAGCTATTTCAGGTTTGCACATTAACATGGCAAAAAGCACTATCTACCCTGTAAATGAAGTCAACAATTTGGAGGAACTAGCTGGAATTCTATGTTGTGGTAATGCTACACTACCTACTACATACCTTGGTCTACCTCTTGGAGCAAAACATAACTCAACTGAGGTGTGGAATGGAGTAGTAGAAATTTGAAAAGAAACTAGCTTCTTGGCAAAGACAGTATCTTTCAATGGGGGGAAGGCAGACACTTATCAACAGTGTGCTAGATAGCATCCCAACATACCTGATGTCCCTCATACCAATCCCCAACAAAATTGTAAAGCGGCTTGACAAGATCAGGAGAACATTTCTATGGGAAGGAGGTAGCAAAGCTCATAAATTTCATCTAGCCAAGTGGTCAAAGGTCACCATGCCAAAGTATTTGGGTGGCCTAGGCATCAGAGATCTTTCCATCCAAAACAAATGCATGCTGATGAAATGGCTATGGAGATACAATCAAGAGGAGAATTCACTATGGAAAGAGGTGGTCAGGGCCAAGCATGGGTCCGAGAATTATTGGTGTACTAAGCTGTCCAGAAGTCCATATGGGGTCGGTCCATGGAAGAACACTAGGAAGCTCTGGAGTGAATTTTCCCTGAACTCCTATTTTAAATTGGGCAATGGCAATCACATAAAGTTCTGGAAGGATAAATGGTTTGAAGGATCCATCCTGATGTTTGAGTTTCCTAGCCTCTATCGGATAGCTCAGAACCAAGATTCCACGATTTCTCAAAATTGGCAAGACAATTGTTGGCACATTCTTTTCAGGAGGGATATGCAGGACTAGGAGCTTCCACAACTTCTAAGTCTGCTGGCAAAATTGGAAGGCCTCTCAGTCAAGGAAAATACTTTAGTCCGTTCTTTTCCTTCTTTGGGCTCGGGTCGATAGTAGCCGTGGTAGTAATGCCCCGGAGCCCAGCTACCGACCCGAGTTCTAAATAAGAAGCCCTTTGAATAAGCGAGGCTTTCCGTGAAGTTCGACAATCTTTTGAGGGAGGGGAGTCGGCATAAGGTGGGGAAGTTCCAAGGATGGTCTTTACACTGTGAAAGTAGGCTACACTCACTTTTGCTCCACCAACGACATAATTGATAGATGGCCTTGGAAATACATCTGGAAGACCAAGCTACCAACAAAAATCTCATGTTTCAGTTGGATAGCCCTAAATGAAGCATGCCTAACCCAGGACAATCTCAGTAGAAGAAGTTTTCAATTGGCCAACAGATGTTATATGTGTTTGCAGCAGCCAGAATCCAACAGGCATCTCTTTCTTCACTGCCCAGTTGCAACAGATATCTGGTGCATGTTCTTTGCCATCTTTGGTTTAAGCTGGGTCATGCCTCAGAACATTAAGGATGCGTATGAAAGCTGGTCTTCATGGAAAGTTGATAACTCCATCAGTAAAGTCTGGCAGATAATCCTTTCTTGTATTTTGTGGTGTGTTTGGACAGAAAGGAATTGCAGATGTTTCGATGGGATATCAATTCCAACATACGCACTTAAGGCTAGATGTCTTTTATGGTTATATAGTTGGCAGAACTTAGCTCCTGTAAATTGTCCTATTAATCTTTTGGACTTCGTCAGCTCCTTAGCTTTAGCCTAGTTTTTGTCTGTAGAGCTGACTATGTCTTTATGTATCTCTCTTTTGTACTTCTTGCATCTTCTTGATGCCTTTAATGCAATTCTCTTACTTCATCAAAAAAAAAAGGATCCAACCTCTAGATCCACACCCGTGTCCGAGCAACTTAGGTCGAGAGTGCATCCATGACACTATTGTTTGGCCCCCAAAGATAAGTACTAACTTTTCCACCTGGCTAGTCTTTTCTCACATCTTTTTAGTACCCCACTCCAAATTTCTAAGACTTTATTTTTAGAACCCATTTCCTCTGCCAGTTTTTTGTAGTCAACCATCTTGGTCTCTAGCAGTACCAGCATAGCAGGCTTGTGGAGCTTGACCATATCCATGCAGTGCCTCCTGAACTCGGCGTTGTTACGACCCCTAAGTATGTTGTTGATAGAGCTCCCACTGTACACCCAAGAATACCTGCCAACCTTTGTATATCAAATACCTCATTAACTCGGAAAAGAAAACTCTTCCTCCAATTCACCTGAAGACCAAATTACCAAAAGCTACATCAAAGAGAGTTAGGATTGTTCTGAGGTTAACTGCTTCTCTTTTAACTCACAAAACACCAAAGTGTCATCTACATATAGCAGATCAGTTATTTCAGTCCTCCTCCCCTACTTGCTATCTTAAACCCAGACATCCATCCATTGTTATTGGCTAACTTAATCATGCTATTTAAGCCTTACATTGCAATTAAGAACAGAAAAGGGGAAAAAGGGCCTCTCTGCCTCAGTCCTCTGTGAAGGGAAAAACCTTCAGGAGAGCCATTAATCAAAACAGAAAATCAGACTAAGCTTATTGCAAAATAGAATCCACTTGATCCACTTTCTACCAAAACCCATATCCATCAACATTTTGAGAAGACAAACCCAGTTCACATGATCATAATCATTTGGAAACTAGTCACCCAATTTCTTTGCTTTTTCTAAAAATTGTTATCTTTGAGGTACCAAATATCATGGTGTACTTGGTTCTTTTTTTTTTAATTTTGAGAACGGTAACAATATTATATATCTATAGCACAAAGGCTGTGCTAAAGCCAACATTACAATTTGACATAACCAAAAACATAGCTTCTTTTAGCTCCTACAACAAGGAGTCTTGATCTCTAACCATGAATCAATATTCTGTACAAAATCTTCCTTACTCGAAAAGTGAAACAAAAAAAGACAGTTCATCTTAATTTTCTGTACGGAATTGTTGTTCCCTTCAAAACACCTACTGCTTGTTTCCTTCCAAATGGTCCACTACAAATACCAACACTCATGTCGGCCACAAGAACGTAATGCAACAGCACCCCCAATTTCTTTGCTTTCTCTAAAAACTGCTCTCTTTGAGGTTCCAAACATCATGGTATACTTGGTTCTTTTATTATTATTTTTTTTTAGAACGGTAACAATATTATATATCTGTAGCACAAAGGTTGTGCTAAAGCCAATAACTTCTTCTAGCTCCTACTACAGGGATTCTATGATATCTAACAATGAATTAACATCATGTACAAAATCTTCCTTGCACTAAATGTTATCTTGTTCAAATAAAACAAATTCCTTGCACCAAAAGTGAAACAAAAGAAGGCAATTCATCTTAATATTCTGTAATGAATTGTTGTTCCTTTCAAAACACCTAGAGTTCCTTTCCTTATTATTATTATTTTATTTTTATAACTGGGTGTAGGGGCCAACTTGCACGCATCTTGATTATTTCACGGTATTTGCAAACTCCCACAAACACAGTTAGCCCGTACCTCTGGCCACCAAGATTTAGGCAAATAGAAAGATAACACCTAATGTTTTTTGTCGCTAAATATCCAACACTAATAATCAAAAAAAGTACTGAAGTCGAATGGAAATTAGGAGAGTGTGCTAATTAGAATTAAATATTTAGTATTTCCTCCATCCCAAATTTAACATCCACCCTCTTTTGTGAGCCTGCCCAAATTAACTTCTTCCTTATAAATACATATGACATATCAGAAGAAGTAACACAGGACCTAGTTTTGCTCAATACAACTTGTTTGTTACTGAAATTCTTCAAGGATCAAAAAATAAACATATATCCTGAAATGTTACCTCAATAACTACAAAATCATACAATTTCAGTTGTCCTCTTAAGTAATCCTTACAACATGGGCTAGTCCAGATAATGAAGCTAAATGCCTTAAATATTGTCCACATACAGTGGCAAATTCATGAAATTGATAGATCATGTTCTTCATGTTTTTTAGTTTGATAACTATTGTAAGTTAATTTTTCTCGTAAAATAGACATATATAGAACAAAATACATGTATCTACACATGAATGTTCACCGTATTCCTTATTTTCAGTCCTCCATGATGCCATCCATGTCCATACTACTTAGCTCTGGATATAGTCAAATATACAGTCATAACAGACCAATAACAACCATCTATAGATTCAAACTTACAAGCAAACACTTCAACCAAAAAAAATAGATTTCTCAATCTACAGAACTGAAAACACTGAATATCTTGAAGAGAATTGACAAATGCACTTACGCCTTGCCCTTGCTTCAGAAGTCAGAATCTGAGTAAGCATCATTTGCCTTCGTTCATCAGCTTCCCTACATCAATCATTTCCTCTGTCAATATTAAAATCTCAAAAGTAAATGCTAACATATGAGTATGACCACAAAGGGCAACAATTTTACCAACCAAAAAAAGGGGCAACAATTTTAGCTGCTAGTAAGAAAATAACCTTTTGGCTTCCTCCTGGGCGCTTTGCTTGTCTGAGCTTTGAGGAGTTCCCTATGATTCAAGTTTTATAAGTAATGGAGATACATCAGATTCAGAACTTTAAAAAGGCAAACACAGCTTGAAAAGTTGCACCATAAATACAAAGCGGTCATCATTTTACCATGCCCTGTTGAGCCATGAGCTCCTGCATTCTCCTTTGCCTGATTGCCTCTAATTCTGGGTCAGCCTGGAATAATAATAGCAAAAAAGGGAATCAAATCTCTCCTAGCAAGCTAGATCACATTGTTGCAAGCTTCTAGACTAACCATTACAACAACAAATCCAGTATTATCCCACAAGTGGCGACTGAGAAGGGTAATGTGTACGCAGACCTTACCCTACCTTGTGAAGGTAGAGAGGCTGTTCTGATAGACCTTTGGCTCAAGAAACAGTAAAAAGGAAGCAACAAACAATAGCTACAACAAGGTAATAGGACAACAGAAGTGAACGACACCGCGTGTAATAACAAAGATCTAAGCTCCCGTTTGGCCATAGATTTTGGCAACTTTTTTTCAAATCTTTTTTGCAAACATTGTTTGTTCATAGATTAATGATCTATTTTTGAAAAATTTCTGAAATTATTTTTCAAGTTCCCAAAATCTAGTTTAGGGTAGTTTTTGGGTGAAACTTGTTCTTCCACTCACAAAATTTCAAATTTTTTTCAAATAAAATGCATGTCCAAACATAATTTCAACTTCCAAAAATTATTTTTCAAAACTACTTCAAAAATTATTTTTTCAAGTTTCAACCAAATCTATGTCCAAACGCTAGCTAAGAATAAGAAAATACAAGAACAGTACTAATACTACTAGTAAGACTATGAGAAACTCTCGACTACCTATCGACCTTCGACCTTAATTTTCGACCTCCACACCTTCCTATCGAGGGTCATGATCTCGGTTAGTTGAAGCAACGTCATCTCCTGCCTAATCAACTCTTCTCGGTACTTCTTTGGCCTACCTATACTCTTCCTACGATCCGCCATGGTCAACCTCTCACACTTCCTAACCGGGGCATCTATGTCTCCTTTTCACATGCCTAAACCATCTCAGCCTCGATTCCCGCAACTTGTCCTTCACAGGGGCCACTTCCACCTTATCCCTAATAACTTCATTCCTAATCTTATCTTTCCTGGTATGCCCACATATCCATCTCAACATACTTATTTCTACTACTTTCATCTTCTGGTATTGAATTTCTTGACTGGCCAACACTCAGCCCCATACAACATAGCAGGTCTAACCACCACTATGTAGAACTTGCCCTTAAGTCTTGGTGGCACATTCTTATCACATAAAACACCATATGCGAGCCTCCATTTCATCCACCCGCTCCAATACGATGTGTAACATCCTCGTCAATCTCCTTGTTGCCTTGAATTACAAAACCAAAATATTTGAAGCTATCTCTCTTGGGGATGACTTGTGTATCAAGCAGCACGTCTACTTCTGCCTCATGTGCCCCATCACTGAACTTGCATTCCAAGTATTCTATTTTCTAGACAAACCATTGATCCAAACAGTAATCCAACGCAAGCTAGAAAACTTTGGCTTTTGGTTTCTCAAAAATATTATGCACTTCTATCCTCATTGATTATTTTTCAAAATAGGTAAAAGAAAACCAGAGAACCATACAAGAAACAAAGCCAGAGCAAGTAGATAACACAAACATCTTTTACTTATTTCCTTTCTTTTCTCCCAACGGATTGAGGTAGCAAATCAATAAGAGAAAGCTAGTTTGAAACAACTTACCATGCCACCCCTTTCTGCCTTTAATATGAAACACAACTAATGATATTATCAACAAACGATTTCATCAACTATGCGCAAACAGAATCCATTTACCAGTTCCTTTTTGTTCTTAATTCTGTTTATACTTTCCTGCTGAGGTGTCCATTCTAAACCATGGTCCAATACTACAGTCAACATCCAAATAAAACTCTAAGCAAATAGAAATTCCATCATACTATATTCAGAGTTACAATTAAGCACTCCTCCCTTCTTATGTATTGTAACAGCCAGGGGTGGAGCTAAGGGGGCACAAGGTAGTTCAATTGAATCCCCTTCATCAGCAAATTATACTGTACATATAGGGAAAAAATTACCTTTTTGCTTGTATATAAAAAGTTGAATCCCCTAAATTACAGCGCAATGGCAAAGGAGGTTCAAAAATTGCTTTAGATCACATGTTCAGATCTTAGGTGTAGCATTCTTGTATTTTTTTTTTTAATACCTTTGTTTGAATTCCTGGTTCCGCCACTGGTAACAGTGGCTACCAAAAATACATTTGACAATTGACAGAAGCTCCCGTTTCCTGTCCTTCCTATGGATAGCTAACGTACAGGGAACAAAGTTATAATAGGAATAACAAGAAAAAAAAATATTAAATGAAGTTCAGTGGTTTGCAGAAAGGAAATCAACAAGGGTTTTCAAAAGTGGACATAAACCCATTAAAGAGAAATAACAATGCATCCATCTTTTGAACTGACAGAGACCTAAGCACAAGTAATCTTACAAGTTAGCAACCCTAACATCAATTTTATCCTAAAAGGTGTACACATCATTAAAGAAAATCTATACACAACGCGAGTGGAGTAACAAAGTAAACTTACCATCTTTCAATGCTGAATTTGAGCAGGGAATCTCAGGGAAAAGGAATGCAAGAAAATAAAAACACGGCGTTTGTCAGACGCGAGAAAAGGCCACCCTGGATATGTTCAAAATCAGAAAAACAAATGACAAAACTAGTCCCTTATGTTTTCGGTTGATTTAACATGGTCCTTTAATTATGCACCTCAGCAATTTTTTCATTTATATTTATCAGAACTGACCACTTTTGGTCTCCTTTATATTTATAGCACACAATGGTAGTTATCTTTGATGGATTTGGTTCGTAAAAAGCATGTGTGTCTTAATTGAAAAAAAATGATCATAACATGCTTTTTCCCATTCATTTTTCCCAATTTTTACCATTAAAAAATCCTAAATTTTTATAACAATGGGTGCTACATTGGATTTAAAGGAGAAATAAAGAGTAATCTATTCACTATTTCATATGAACAAGGTGAATGATGTATACAATTGTTTTGAAAAAGATTTATGATACTATATACGGTTAAAACCGGGTCTACCCGATTTTGCTATTTGATCGAGACAAGGGAACTACGTCGAGGGGTAGCCTCATAATGAATTAGACCAGAGCACGAAGACGAGGCATCAAGTCCAAGGATCGAGGTGGCTGTCGAGGTCGAGGCCCGCAACGACCAAGACCAAATATGACAGACTTCGAGCAAAGCGCAATAACGGAAAGGCGAGATATCCGCGACTAGCCGGAGATCATGGCGTAAATCTCGGAACAGTTCAAATCAAGGGCGGTTATCTAGTTAATCATGGAATTTACTTTCATAGTTAGAATTGTACCTTAATAGGATTCCTTTACTATATAAATGGGGTCCTAATCATCTTGTAGACGGACATTGATACATATCAAAGCAATAAAATATTTTCTCTTTAATTCTCTTGTTTATCAGTTTGTTGCTTTTAAGTTTTAACTGTTCTTGCTCTACTAGCTCGAGGGCATTCCAACCCGAGGGCTCTGTGCAAACACTGGTTTGCTTTACATTATTGTCAATTTCCATTACTTATCTTTGTGTCTCTCAATTGGTATTAAGTGAAATCACGTATCCTTAAAACCACATTATAAATTTAATTGTTATCCAATTTTTAGGATAAACAGTTTGGCGCCCACCGTGGGGCTAAGGATAATAGTGATTATTTAGTATTAATCCTCATAACACACACTGCTTTTACGCTTGTTCTCATAAATGTTTTTGATTTCAAGAATCAACATGTCAAATTCTCAAGTAGCACCCACACATACAGACAACGGCCTTGGTCTTCACGGAGAGAACGAGAATGTTGCCGCCCCGGAAAACGGGGTACCTCCAGTCAACCCCGATGGACCACAAGCTGTTAACCCAATTGACGTCGGTTCCCATGTTGCCATTAATGGAAATTTGGGTGTCGATCCTAATAATAGCGTTCGCAGAGATGTTCGAGCAGCCGATCAGAACGCACAGAGTGGTGAAGAAGGTGGGATTAGCCTTCGAATGATATTTGAGATGTTGTAGACTCAACAAGCTGCGATAGCGCAGCTACAAAATCAGAAACGAGCACCAAGCAGAATTGAGCTCGATACATCACAGGAAGTTATTCACAGGGTCGAACCTGTACCAGAGAAATCGAATGATAATGGATCGTGAACTGACCTCCCCATCATGAAGATGTTCGAGGAGCTCACTAAACGGGTCGAATCAGGAGAAAAGCAAATCAAGGGTAATGATAAAAAGGTAGAGACGTACAACTCACGGGTTGATCAAATACCGGGGGCACCCCCAATTCTAAAGGGTTTAGATTCGAAGAAGTTCGTACAGAAGCCGTTCCCACCAAGTGCGGCTCCGAAGCCCATCCCAAAGAAGTTCTGCATGCTAGAAATTCCCAAATACAATGGAACCACTATTCCTAATGAGTACGTCACTTCTTATACATGCGCAATAAAAGGAAATGACTTGGAGGATGATGAAATTGAATCTGTTATGTTGAAGAAGTTTGGAGAAACCTTATCGAAGGGGGCAATGATATGGTACCACAATTTGCCACCCAATTCCATTGATTCCTTCGCCATGCTTGCTGATTCGTTCGTAAGCACACGCTGGAGCAATAAAGGTCGCAATTAGGAAATCGGACCTCTTCAAAGTAAGACAAAGGGACAATGAAATGCTAAGGGAATTCGTATCTTTGTTCCAGATGGAACGCATGGACCTACCATCGGTCACCGATGATTGGGTTGTCCAAGCCTTCACTCAAGGTTTGAACGAGCGAAGCTCGATAGCATCACGACAACTAAAGCAGAATTTGATTGAATATCCAGCCGTGACTTGGGCCGATGTACATTATCGGTACTAGTCAAAAATTATAGTCGAGGATAATCAGTTAGGAGCCCCTTCCGGTTCCGCTTACCCAAATACATCCAAAGGTAGAATTCAAAGGGACATCGATAGAGAGCCCCGATCAAACAGAGATCGGTACCAATCTTACAGCACTGATCATAAAACTAACGGACCGAGATGTAATCCCGTTCGGAATGATCGAAGGAATGATCGAGGACAAAACTCCCAAGGGATCATGAGTAAGAGTGGCTTCGATAAACATGTCGAGCCCAAGGAAGCGCCACGGTTATCAGAATACAACTTGAGCATCGATGCATTGGGGATTGTATCAGCCATTGGACGAATCAAGGATACTAGGTGGCCCAGACCCCTACAGTCCGATCCAGCTCAAAGGAACCCAAATCAAATGTGGAAGTACCATGGAACCCATGGTCACAAAACCAAAGACAGCAGGCAGTTAAGGGAGGAGGTAGCTCATTTATTCAACGAGGGTCACCTTCGAGAGTTCTTGAGTGACCGAGCTAAAAATCACTTCAGAGACACAGATACAAACAGGAAAAACGAACAGGAAAAGCCGCAGCACGTGATTCATATGATCGTTGGTGGGGTCGATATTCCTTAAGGCCCAATATTTAAACGCAGCAAAGTGACAATCACAAGGGAGAAACGTACCCGAGACTACTTACTAGAGGATACCTTATCTTTCAACAATGAGGATGCAGAAGCGATCGAATAGCCTCACAACAACGCGTTGGTAATGTCTATCCTTATGAATAAAATTCAAGTTAAACGTGTGTTGATTGACCCAGGTAGCTCGACAAACATTATTCGATCGAGGGTCGTAGAGCAACTCGGCCTCCAGGATCAAATCGTGTCAGCAGCTCGGTGCTCTACGGTTTCAACATGGCAAGTGAAACCACCAAAGGGGAAATCATGTTGCTAGTAAACATGGTCGGAACTATCCAGGAAACAAAGTTCCATGTAATTGAAGGCGACATAAGATACAACACACTGCTCGAAAGGCCTTGGATTCATAACATGAAGGCAGTACCTTCGTCTCTCCATCAAGTATTAAAATTCCCGACATCGGAAGGAATCAAAACGGTGTACGGCGAACAACCCGCCGCCAAAGAGATATTTGCAATCGACGAGGTAATACAAGTATCGGCACTATCATCAACGAAGGGATCGGAGTCGAAGGGGAAGCAGGAAGTCAAATAGCAACCACAATCGCCAGCCTCGACCAGATCGGAGCAGCAGGAAATTTTTGGGGATGATGATTATATGATACCTCGAACCTTCGTAATCCCCATCCCCGATGATTCCGATATCACGAAGTCAACGGTTGAAGAGCTGGAACAAGTCGTACTGATTGAGCATCTGCCCGATCGGAAGGTGTCACGCCCCAAAATCCGAGGAGCGCGACCGGCGCTCAACCGAGTAAACCCGACTGAGCAAGCCTGTTAGGTTTCATACTACCCAAATTCGTCTTTGAATAAAGAGGAAATGTACACCATTAATCAAATTCTATAAACATGTCATTAACGATTTCCGTTTCATTTCCATTAGAACCTTCGTTCATAATTTTGAAGATATTACAAGTTTTATACATCTTTGATAAACATCAATATTTCTATTTTAATTCCAATACCCGATACTACCCACAACCTGTCTACGGAACCTCTAAATACAACTGAAGAGAAATATGAAAATGCCGGCAACAAGGCTCCGGATATACCTCAATTACAAGTACATGATGAACAGATGATACAGGACCCCGAAATGAAGTGGGGCTCACCAAGTCGGCTGAAAAGAGGATACGCCACTAGCTGCGACCAACACTGACTGCTATGGAACCACCTATATCCATTTAAAGATGTAGCGCCCCGGCAAAAGGGACGTTAATACCATGGAATAGTACTAGTATGTATAACTAAACACCATCTCATTAGAAAGAACTATCATACAAGAACAAAGAAATCATAAACACCATCTCAATAGAAAGAACTGTCATACAAGAACAAAGAAATCATAAAGATCCATCAAATGCCTTAAACAATCACCACATCATCAAATCGAAGGATCATATAACTTTCACATAATTCCCATACCTCTAGGTTGCGACTTTTAATACTTTTCATCATCATTCACAATACCACCGCTTTATTGCGCGGAGTCCGATCACGACCTGATCGGCTAGGTTGCCTCATTTGAGACATGTACCTCAATCACAATTTCATTGTCACTTTCCAGTTTCAATATCAACACAATACCACCATGTGTGTAGCATGGCGTCCGATCACGGCCCGATCGGCTAGGCCGTCTTACCAAGACATTTTTCCTTTTCCATATATCATCTCATTTCAATCTTTACTTCACATATGTCAGTTCATCGGCACTTGGGGCCACAATTATCACATCATACTTGGCACTAGGCCACATTTCATAATTCGAGCTCTTTTCCCCTACATTTCACATCAACATCAATTTCAACAACAAGCCATTCAGTCCAAGATGTCAAGTACACATGAGAGGAATCATGAATCATGAACATATACAATATTTTAGAAATCATACACCTCAAGTTCATTAGCAACGGAACTTTAAACACAAAGGATTCTTCCAAAAAGGAGGGAACACACCAAACCACAATAGAAACACACATCAAAGTCATAAACAAGCAATTACACCAATTATTCTTGAATTACTCTTTTCCAATCACGACAATATATAATTTCAACATCGGAGCATGTAACAACTCGGATCATAT